TAAATACTAGTTTAATAATACAAAATGTAGGTTTTGATAAGCTTAAAATAAAGTTTTAATAAAGTTTTTTTGGTTGAGTTTCAAAAATTAAGCATTTTATATTGCATAAAAATTCATTCAGAAACTTTTGATAACCCTCTGTATTAAGGTTGCATGTAATTATTTTTATATTAATTTTTTTATTATATTATTAATAAACTAATTATATATTTTTTAAAGTTGGCGATTACGTCTTAAATATACAGATATTATTTGGCTTCCATAATTTGCGTATCAGTGTTAAAGGTATATTCAAAAATCAAATATATTTGCTTACATTTCAACTAATGCAATAAAGGTTTTTATATTTTAATCAGCCAAATAATACATATTTTATCAGTAAATTGTGAATTATCCAGAAAGAAATGTATAGTAAATATATTGCTATTATAAAATCAGGAGATATAAGATGGAACTCATTTATGGTTATTTTAAGAGTTTATTAAAAACAAAGCAGGCTTTACAAGTAAGTTTATTTATAAAATTATTCAATTATTATTTTATAATTATTTATATAGTCTATCTATTTTAGAAGAAAGTTTTTTATAAAAACAAATTATAACTAAGGAATTGTATTTGTTATAAAGTATTTGTAATATACTTTTTGATGAAATTTGATGGTTAAATATTGCAGAATTAGCTATATTAATGAAGTCATATTATAGTATATGTAAGCTAATATATAATATAGCAATTTCTTTTGATTTTTTTATTAAATTTGAAAGGGTTATGGTAATCATATTTTTGCTGAAAACAGATTTTATATTTACAAAAATAGTGGAAAAGTTAAAAAAAATCACTTTATTACTTTTAATTGTATTTTATCTTTCTTATTAAATAAATTAAAAAAAAAAGCCAATTAAAATTTTATTTAAGTTTAAATTATATTGAAGTAAAAAATTTCTTTTTGATAATAAGATAATTACTTAATTTGAAGATGATATTTTAAGTTTTGAAATTTTGTTTAAAGAATTAGACGTAATTATTACAAAGATTTTAGTATTACTATAAATTTAGTATTTGTAAAGAGTTATTTTTATCAATAGGATTTTTATATACACCTTAATTTAATGCAATAAAAGTAAGAATTAATTATATCTTTATATTTAAGTTTAAGGTAAATAAACTGTAAACTTATAGAATATTTTGTAATTTAGTATAAGAAGATCTTAATATTATCTAAATTTTAAATGATATTTAACAAGAATATAAATTAAAATAAAAAAAAATATATATTAATACTTTTCCTATTAATGAAATAGAAATTTTAGAAATAAAATCAGAAATAATCAAACAAACCAAAATTTAAAAAATTTAGAATTAGAAAAAGGATATATTATTACAAAACAAGACTGGCAAAATAGATTACAAGGAATGAAAAGAAATATTTAATAAAGAAGAGGATTCTGAAAGAGAAAATATAAATATTTAACTAGAAAATAGAGGAATGAATAAAAAATTATTAGCAGATTATAATTATCTAACAATAGAGATTATAGCTAAATAAAATTTACATGATATATTCATCTTTTATTAGCCATAAATCTAATTAATATTAATGTAATAAATGCTAGTATAAACCTTAATAAATTTGATCAACAATTCATTTCATTCATAATTTATTATTATATTAAATTAAGTAAATTGATATATTTGTTTATTGCCAAAAAGGGAATATAAAACTTATCGTTATATTTTAATAAATGCAATCGGGTGATTATACAAACTGTATTTATCTTGTATATAAAGTACCCAAATGCCTAATTGTTAGCATTAGTATAAGTGATTAAAGTGGTAAACTGTTTGGATCATGATTTTAAATTTGTAAATTAATTAATAAAAAAAAAATAAAATTTATTTATTTTGGCAATGCCAATTACAAAATTTTTTTCTTTTTTTTTTGTTATATTAATTAATTGCCTTTGAAATAAATATACTAAAAAAAGTTATAAATTTTTATTGAAAGACCTTTCATGTAAATGCATTCATTTATAATAATAATATTATTATTATGATTATTATTATTGGAGTAATAAATGCAGTTAATAAAATCAATATTTATCAATCAAAATTTGTAAATTTAAAAAATATTCTTTTTAGTTGTAGATTCCAAAATTTCGATTAAAAATTGAATATTCGAGTATTATTTATTGAATGAATTGCATTAGTGGTTTGGTAAAAATAAAATTAGATCTGACATAATTAAATATTAAGTACAACGACCATAAGATAAATTAAATGAATAAAATATATATTCTCTTTAATTTTAACAAGATATTTATTTTTAACGCCATTTTTACGTTCCAATCTTCTCAGTTTCAGCAATGTTACATTTATTTCATGTCTCGCTACCGATAATGTCTTGTGCTTTAAGTAATCTTTCAGGCTTCTCATCTTCTTTAAATCGTTTCTTTATCACGTCTGACTTTACTCCATTATCATTTTTTTCCTTTCTGTTTTCTTTCTTCATTACTTGCGAATTCTCTTTTAATTAAAATTTTGCACTCCTCATTATTGTCTTTAGACTTAATTTCCTCAAACTCATGTTTAATCACACTCTCATTCTTGATATTGTTGAAATCATACTCAATACCTATTTACTCTTTATCTGGATATCATCAAAAGAATATTTCTCGCACGTAGCCAACTTTCTGGTCGATAATGAATGTGTAAAACAGCCACCGGTATTGTTGATAA